GTGTCTTGCATTGGGTTTGTACAAGTTCAAGTGTCATAGAATAGTGGAAAATTAGAGTTGGAAGAGACCTCAGGAGGTCGCATCTAGTCCAACCCTTGCTCAAAGCAGGACCAGCCCCAACTACATCATCCCAGCCAAGGCTTGGTCTAGTTGGGTCCTAAAAACCTTCCAGGATGGAGACTCCACCACCTCTCTGGGTAACCTGTTCCAGCACTTTACTACCCTCCCAGTGAGAAAGTTTTTCCTAATCTCCAACCTAAACTTCCCTTGCTGCAACGTGAGCCCATTCTCCTTGTTCTGTCATCTGCCCACCGTGAGAATGGTCCAGCTCTTTGCAACCCCGCTGCAGGGAGTTGAAGGCTGCTATTCAATCCCCCTCAGTGTCTCTCATCGCTAGACTAAATCAGCCCAGTTCCTCCAGTCTTTCCTCACAAATCATGTCCCCCAGCTCCTGAACCATTTTCATTGCCCTCTGCTGGACTCTCTCCAGCTTGTCCACATCCTTTCTGTAGTGAAGGCCCACAACTGGACACAAGACTCCAGATATGGCCTCACCAGTGCTGAATAGAGGGGAAGAATCACTTCCTTTGACCTGCTGGCAACAACTGGCCAATGCAGCCCAGGATGCAATTAGCCTTCTTGGCAACAAGGGCACACTGCTGGCTCCTATTCAGCTTCTTGCCCACTGTCACCCCAAATCCTTGTCTGCAGAGCTGCTGCCCAGCCAGTCACCCCCAGCCTGAGCTGTCCTAATTCTCCTCTTGCTACCGACATACTTGTAGAAACCCTTCTTGTTCCCCTTCACGTCCCTTGCTAGCTGCAAGTCCAATTGAGCTTTGGCCTTCCTAACTTCAACCCTGCGTGCCTCTTACACTCTTCCCTAGTTGTTTGTCCAAGTTTCCACTTCTTATAAGCTTCCTTTTTGTGATGTAGCTCACTGAAGAGTTCCCTAATAAGCCAAGTTGGTCTTTTGCCATACTTGCTAGTCTTCCTGCACATTGGGATAGTTTGCTCCTGCACTCTCGGAAAGGTTTCTTTAAAGCACAGCCAGCTCTCCTGGACTCCTCTCCCCTCCACAGCAGCCAGCCAGAGAAACTCCATACTGGCAGGCACTACTATGGCACCTACCCACTACAAAGGTTCATCTCTAGCTTGCCTTCTGCCTAACCACTAGACAGTGGTAACTGGCACCAGTGCTGGTTTAGCCCTTGCTTTTTCCCCCAGGGTAATTCGCACACAAGCTTAATGTCACGCCAATGGAGAACTGTGGTCACATGCCCGCTCCCTGCTTCACACCAGTGACAGGGCAGACCATCTCGATATAAACTTGCTGTCTCCATAGTAGTATCTAAGGACGTTAAAAATAGTCAGGAAAGTTGAAGGGAACTCATCAGCTCCACAGGGAACAGGCTGTCAAATTTCTAAACTGACCGGACAGTGCACGAGAGATTGGGAACGGGCTGGGAGTCTCTGTAAGGCAAAGGCCCAGAATAAGAAGAGGGTTTGCTCAGGCAGAAGCATATTAGCAAAGTCACTGATGCCTTTTTTTTATGCTCCTTTTGGTATCTCCCAGCAGCTGGAAAATGAGATTTGGCACAAATGAGATTTCTGGAAATGAGATTTGAGTGCGGCCAGCTCTTCAAAGAGCATCAGTATCTGGTCCGCGGACCAACCAGAGGTGGCAAACATGGCTTGGAGTCATCCGGTCACAAAGAAACAAGATGTCCAGACCTCGCTGAGTTTACTCTAAGCCACAGATGTCAAAGATGTAGCCTGTGGGGTGCATCCAGACTGCAGATCCACATCATGCAGTGGTTCATTTGGCCCATGGACCAGTCCTACGTCGCTCATCTGGCCTTTGGAGCCAGAGGAGTTTGCTGGTGCTCTTGTTCTAAGCACTGATCCTGTAAACATTTACCTATCTGAGGAAGGTGATAAGCCAAGGGTGACCGGTGTAAGTGGCTGT